AGCAGCCGCACGAAAAAGTGCTGCTGAGTTTTGTCCAAACCAGTCCCTTAGATTTTGAAGCCACGATGTTCTTCTTCTGCCTGGACCTCGTTTGCCTTCAATCTTTCCCTGGAGGATTAAATGGAGTATGCCGTATTTTTCTGGGTGTCGCATCACATGTCCGAAATATTCTAATTTTCGTTTTTTAATTGTTTTGATGGATTTTATTATATGAATTTAATTTTATATAAATAATAAATTCATTATGTTTGCATGTGAGTTTTCTCATTTAAAAAGAAGAGGCAATAACAGTGAACGAGGAAGGGGGCTCTATTCTGATTTATCTTTCCTGTTTTCTCAGGTATTTGGGCTGGGAGTGGTGGAAATTGACCCAAAGTACCATTCCTACATCCTGATCAGTAAATTTCCTCCTTTGGAAGGGGATATTGTGAATGAGTAAGGAAAAGAGGGAATGTAATACCTCTGTTTCTGTGCTTCTCTGTTGGCTAAATGTTGTATAAAACATTGTACAAAACATGTCAAAAATCTCTTCATGCATTTTGAAATGAGCAATAGTGTTGCTTTTTTCTGATAACATGGTTTCTATATTCCTGCATTTTGAGATACTAAGGTAGAGATCAAAAACTTTTTCTGGGCCGCTTAGTCTTTGAGCGGTATGACAGAATCTAAATTTCATTTTGTATAGATTGAAGTATACATTGAATTAAGTGTACTAAATTAATTAAATATATGATTATCAGTCATGTATTTAACCATTCTCCCCTTCTGACATATTGAAAAGTGTCTCAAATTGTAATAACAGAATTTCACGGGGAGCCTCATCAAACATTTTGGGAAGTGCACCCTCCAGTGAGAGTTCAGCTGGTGGTCCTATGCCTGAGGAGAACCCATGTGTCCTCCATGCTTTGGGAAATGGAGTTCCTCTGTGTTATCCCATGCTTTGAGCAGTCCACAGATCTTCTTTCGTTAGTTCCTGAACTGAAATGTTACAAGTTTGGCTTAAAATGTTTCTCACTGGGTAATTCAGGTAAAATCCCCAGTCTTCACTTCCAAATTAAGAAGCAGAACCTCTTTTTTCTTTTTTGCAGCGATGAGAACGCTCCCAAGATGGGCCTCCTTATAGTAATACTTAGTGTTATCTTCATGAAAGGCAACGTGGTCAAAGAATGTAGGTTTCACTCCTCCGTAATTTACTCTATTTCTTAGATAGCTTCATATGCTTAACTCTTCTCTTTTCTTTTGTCTTCGTGCAGCTGCTGTTTGGGAAATGCTGAGGAGATTACATATTGACTGTTCTGGGTAATACTGGCTTAGCGATAAATTCAAATATTTCAGTGTGGTTGGATGAATCTTGGAAGAAAATCTCCTTTGTCAACTGATCTGAGAGAATGACATTCTTTTTTTTTCCCCCAGGGGAAAACACAAAGTCTTTGGTGATATCAAAAAGCTGGTGACAGAGGAATTTGTGAAGCAAAAGTGAGTTGGGGATTGCAATGCCTTTGTTATCTTTAGTGCTGGAAGAGAAATGAATCATATTGGTTTGAGTGACTGGCAGATGGGAATGCAGAATGTTTTGCTTGTCTTTTAAGGGCTAACATCTGGATCTTTTTAAGAAAAGGGATTGGGATAGGATTATTAATTAGGATACAGGTTAATGGGAAATCTCAGACTATTTTTTTTCCAAAAAGCAGGAATGATATCTTTATGCTGAAGGACAGTTATTTTACTAAATAATCTGTTTGGTGATTACAAAGGGTTTTTTTTCCCCACTGATCACATAATTCTCACTTCCTAGATATCTGGAATATACACGTCTCCCACACACAGATCCGCCTGAGTTTGAATTCAGGTGGGGATCGCGAGCTTTTAAAGAGACCTCCAAGAAGCAGATCCTACAGTTTGTTGCTAAGGTACTGACTAGGAGATTATGAGTTCTAATCCTACTTTAGCCATGAATGTTAGCTGGTTGACCCTGGGTCAGAGACTCAGCCCAGCTGAGGGAAAATAGGAGGAAATTGTGTTGAATGTGTTCGCCACCTTGAGTTATTTGTAAAATAACTAAAATAATAGTCTACTTCTGCATTAAGGATAACTAAGTTGGTAGAATTAAAATACGTTGGATCAATAAATAGGAGTGTACAGTTGTACGTTTTGACATGGAACTATCCTTTTCAATCCTTTTTAATAAATATTGTCAGAAACAGGATCAAAGCACTAAATGATGGGAGTTATGGACTTTGCAGGAAATTGGCAATTTTCTAAGTACTCACTTTAACATCTAAGCTTTCCTTTCTGAATATATTCAGCTTTTTCTTGGCAGTCATGCTTGCTTCAAACAAGTGTTAGGGCATTAAAACGTGTAACTTAACAGATCCTGTAGTGTTCTGATAAGAGCCAGTATAGCTTTATGGTTAAAATGTGAGTCTTGGAGATTTGGGCTTAAGTTCCTTCTTGATCTTATTCTCTTTCAACCTTGCCCAGCTCACACAATTGTTGCTAGGTGGGTAAAATTAGAAGAGGACCCCCTTATACACCATATACACCACCCTTTGCTTTCTGAGAAAAGGTTACATATAAATAAGCAGGCAGGCAAAGCTGTACAGCCTAAATCATGCCCATACAATTTCTATTTTCCCCTAATAGAGTGATGGCTTCAGGGAGGGTATTGCAGAGAATCTGGTATATCTTTTTATTCTGTTTTCCTAATTGGACTCCATTGATTTTCCTTGATTAGATACAAAAGCAGAATCCCAAATCTTGGATGAGCCAGTACAATGAAGCGGAAGCAGAAGCTGGTGCAGTGGGAAAGTTATAAATATTATGGTGTCGTTCAATTATAAAGAATTGTCAAAAACTCTTTTCATGGAACTGCTACAACCACTGCTTGTTTTCTGTCACTGCTTGTTTTAATGTAAAGTGCTCTGTGCTTAATAAGTTCCCTGTTTGTGAAGGAAAGATTCCAGAATAGACTGGGCCATTTTACTGGTGATGAAGACAAGACTCTTCTCTAAAGCTCTCTGATTATTCAAGCATTAGCAATAGTATTTTCTGGAAATAAGCTGATAGAATATTTACTGGAAATAAATATATTTTTGCAATCATTTTTCTGTGCTATATTTTCTGCATTAATTTCCACCTCATTTCAGATGGCATATATTATAGAGCAGGGATCCTCAACCTTGGCAACTTTAAGACTTGGCAACTTTAAGCTTTGCTGGCTGAGGAATTCTGGGACTTGAAGTCCACAAGTCTTAAAGTTGCCAAGGTTGAGGACCCCTGTTGTAAAGTCTTGTATTCATTAATCAGAATAAAAATAAGGTATATAATGTGCAACGTTTCCATCAAATCTTCTGCTGGACATAAGTGCTTATTTAATTCTCTCTAAAGAAATGGGGCTTTAAAGATGTTTATATTTTTGGCAGGGTTATGCTCTGTGTGTGTGGTTTTTTTTAAAAAAAAACATAGTTTAGAGTTGATTTATTCTTTGTTTAAAGAATTTGATGGATGGGACTCAATTATTCATCTTAGGTTGGCAGATCTATACCTTGAGTTGCTTTTCGATGAGATAATGCAGGGGTGTCAAACTGCCGGCCCATAGGCTGGACACGTCACATGGAAGCCACGCTCACCCCATGGCAAAACTGTCCCGATACGTCGCGCAACGTCACGTGATGTCGTGAGTTTGACATGTCTGAGATAATGCTTACATGTATAAAGTGATACAAAGTAGCTCAGAACTTGCATCCTAGTCATATTTCTCTAGATGGCACTCTCTATCTGTCAGCAATAGAACCTCTTCAATAAAGTAAATTTATTTTTGTTTTTAGTGTGTAAGTTTAATAATGGTCTGGCACGGTGTCTAGAGCTTCTGTAGGATCTCGTGACACATCAACATTCTGCAGGAAGAGAAAGGAAAGAAAGACTTTAAAGCACAAGTATGACTTTAAAAGGGAGTACACTGAAGAACTAAGGCCTATCTACCTCCATTTATATTAGTAATTTCAACTATCTGGAGTGTTAGAATTATAGCCAGTGTATCTTGGCTCCGTTTCTCAACTCTGCCCGTGGGCAGAGAAGAGTAGTTCTACCACTTCTTTCAGTATAGACCCACTGCAGAATGTTTGACTGGTTCTTGTCATCTACATATGATTTTCTTGTGAATAATCTGGCACCATGAAACCGTGTCTTTGGGCTTTGAAGGAATTTCTCAAGGGGAGGTTAGTAAAAGCAGTGAGATAGCACGGCAAAGCACAGTGATTAAAGTCCGATGTGGCAGAATTAGGTTAGGGAGTCAGGTGAAGAGAGGATTCTTTTACCTGAGGGTCAAACAGGCAAGAGGGAGGAGAGCGCCCCAGATCTTTCCAGCAGGGTTGTTTGGTGGGCTCAGGGCTAGCCATTGGCACAGCGCGGTAGTGCCGATACAAGGGGGCCTGGCTAGCTTTGTAGGAAAAATGCTAAGGGTGGTTTTGGGGGCGGGGAGTGAAGATAAGAGGAAAATATTACATAGAGAGATGCAACTCTGAATACAATGATCTTTAACAGGAGCACCTGTCAAGTCAATAACCAGGTATACACGATGGGGCTGAAAAGCTTCAGGTCAAACAAGCCCTTTGCCAATCATAGCTTCCTTCACAACCTCTTTCCAGAGGTTTTCATATAAAATCTCCCACGTGATGGGAATCCTGCTTACCGTGGGGCGTTCCCGGTGTGTATTCACAGCCTCAATATTGAGAAAAATGGATTCCACCTCGCAGCCTGTCCCCAAAACAATGAACCCCCAATTACTGATGGTAGATGGGAGTGCCAAACACTCATTCACTGCCAATGGCTTTGTCAGCTTCAAGATGACATGCTAGGCCTGCACAAACTTGCCTTGGTTGGATTGAATAGTTGATTTGGAACTGCCTGATTTTTCCTTTTAACTGAGCAGAATTAAAAAGACTGGAACTCCAGTATGGCAGTTGTTGCCAATAGGCTGCTGCTTATTCATGGAAGGGCAATGTTGTGCAGTCTGCAGAGATTAATATAGGAGAGGAAATGTGTAGCTTTGTTCAGGTAGATGTTTAACAGCTGTAATCCAGTTGGGTGGCAACACATAACTGATCTAAGCTGACCTTGGAGAAGCTAAGCAGGATTGGAATTGGCTTAGTAGAGCAGCCAGAAGTACCAGGACTGTTGCTTACAATGGACAGAGAAGTCAAAACAAGAAAGCAACAATGGCAATCAATAAATTGGAAAAGATTATATAGGCCATCAAACCTTGCTTTTTCTTTCTGCGTATTCTGAAGTTTTTGTGCAGGTAGGAAAAGCCCCTGAAGGACTGTATCAGTGACTGTCCATAGCCACAAAATGGGAGGAAGCTTATTAGCATTAGATAGCAATTTACTCCCAACCACCATTAGATAACCATACTTTAGATAACAATAGGAGTATATTATGTTTTCTTTTGCAACAAATTCATCTTCGGTGCCTAATCACTGACTACCCCTGCATGCTCCCCCAAAGCAGACTTCTGACATTTTTGCTGTCCAAATGGATCTTTGCCCAGGAGGAAAGGACTTACCATATGCCACAGGGGTGAGCTTGAGAACAGTGTGCAATGGGCACTTGAGGTATGGCAATTCCTCTGAAAAGGAAGAATGGCAAATAAAAAAAAAGCAACCCCAATCTCCAGAACTACACAGAGAGGTCTAAGGAAGAGAAAGAACTGGTGCACAAGAACAATCCATCCCATTTGTGATGCAACCTCTTCTCGCAATCTAAAAGAAACTCAATTTTTTTTCCACTGGCAAGTATTACGGGGAAAACGCCATATATACAGGAAGAATCATAAACAGAGGGCTTTGCCACCATCAGCCTCCCAGGCTCTTGGCTCAGAAGACTAAATCAGGAAGTGGGGAGAGGAAAGTCTTGGCAATGTGGAAAAATGGACTCTTGATACCTGCACTTTTGTCCAGGAAGTAGGCAAGGAGGCAGCGCATGACCGCTTGATGGCAGATCACCAGCACGTTCTCTTGCCGTTCCAGCTCCATGATGACCGGCTCCAGGCGCTGCACCAAATCTTCATAGGACTGAAGGAAGAAATTTGGAGAGGCCTCTCTGTTGGTGTTTATTTAGATTAGAATTGTCCTGCTTTTCGTTAGAAGTGACCCCTTTAAGGGTGACTCCAATTTTAGCCATTTCCCCTTGATTAGTGATAATACTTTCTTTTCCCATCCTCCTCTGTTCTTGAGAGCGTGTTAGATTTGCCCATTCCCCCCCCCTTGAGTAACAAGCTCTCTAAATCTGCCCGCGTTCCAGATTGCACAGTTCTTACTTCTCCTTTAGGATAGCGGTAGCGGTATTTGTCCTGATCTCGCAGGGCAAACTCTTGTGGATAACTGGCCTGGATTTCTTCATAAGTCATCTCCTCACAGACACCCTGAAACAAACGCAGGATTTGGAATCCCTGAGCTCTGGACATTGAGAGGAAAAGTTAGGTGAAAGAAAAATTTATGACGAATCAAGGTATCTGATTTCCCTCATATGCTTTCCACAGGAGGAAACTAAAGAAGGGAGTCTGGTCTTGAGAGTTAGGCCTCTCTTGGTCATAGAAGGCAAATTGTGGTAAATCAGAGTGAGAGAAATATGCAGCCCTAAGGGCTACCTCCCAATTTAAGAACCAGGCTGTGTTAAGGATAGCTTCTCACCGCATCAATCTCATTCAATGCTTTCCACTGTTCATAGGGCACATGCAATGCTTCTGCTGTTTGGATTGTGCGTTTCATGTGGCTTGTCCAGACCTTGAGGTCGCGGATATACTGGGAACGGATGAAGTTGGCCAAGGCAGAGGCATACTGACAAAGAAAATGAGGGACGAAAAAAAAGTTAGATATGAATCACCCAAGCCAAAAAGAGGACACTCAGCTCCTGCCCTTCTTTTCTAAGAATCCACACTTGGTATTTGAAAGTAGGAGCACAAGCCCTGTGTCCATACTTTCTGAAGACTATGAGCTTAAAATGGAGCTCCTGGATCTAAGCATTTCTAATGGGCACCTGGGTGGAAAATCTTATAAGGATAACCTTTATTAAATATCAATGCTGTCATCAAATGAACAGCAGCCAATATACAGAACATCCAGCCTCCTCATGGATGCAAGTTCATAATTCACCTCTTTAAAAAGCCGCAGCACCTTCTAGAAACTCCATGGAAAATAAATAAAAAGATGTAGAGAACTTTAGATTTGAGAGGAATCGGGTGCTTTGAGATGAAAGCCTCCAGTTTATAATTGTTAATGGTGGTTTACAACCAGGTTGATTTTAATGGTTCAGTTATGTAAACCGAATAAAAAATCCAGTGCTTGAATTTTAGGGATATTCCGAAGATTTCTATGCGGCTGTTCCCTAAATATTTTCAGAGGGCTTGAACAAACAAAATGAGCATTAGGACATTTTACTCTGTTGAATTTTATGTATTTTCAAGTCAGACTTGACTCCGGGCAACTGCCTGGACTAGTCCTAACAGTTTTCTTGGCAAGATTTTCAGCAGTGTTTTGCTTTTGCCATCTTCCTAGGACTGGGAGAGAGAATGACTGGCCCAAAGTCACCCAGATGGCTTTATATGCCTAAGGAACAAATGGAACTCACAGGCTCTTTCTGTGAGTACTAGCCTGGCGCTTTGATCACTACATCAAATTGCTGAATTGATCCACTGATCATGCTTTTATGCTGTGTGGCCTGACTTGAAACAGCTTACATGCAGCAACATACCAATATATAACAATATGATAAGCATACCTGTTTGCCACGCTCAGATAGCCCGGAGTCACCCCCAATGCGTCCCCGGAGGTTAAGCTCGCTCTCCCCGTGCCGACTGAG